TAATCTGCAAGGAAGTTCCATCTTCCAAATGGTTTTTTTCATATCCCCAAACAGTAAAGTCAACCAGAGGAAGAAACATTTAAAAAAAAAAAAAGACCATTATTTCTTTGTTTTGTTTGTCCTGTATAAAAAAGGATCCCAATATAAAGGTATAAAGAAGGGGAGCACAAGGGACATACCCCTTGGTGTAAGGACACAGGATAAGGATAAGCCTCAGAAAGGTGGGAGGGGAATGTCGTTAAGGCAGTAAAATATCGTCTGTAAAAAGTTGGAGTCGCCGCCACAGCTTCAGAGGTGAAGGCAGAGGTTGCCTTCTCAGTGGGGGGGCTCTCCACTCAAGTGTTCAAAGGAAGGGAAATTTGGTGGTCTCTCGCCTTGGTTCTGTTCCAGCCATTCCGCTGCTCACTCTGCGTCACCTTCTGCCTTGTGTAGATAAGGGTGCTGCAGCGCTCGGAAGGCGGAGATTCGCTTGTGTGGGTTAAAACTCAGCATCTCCTAAGAAGGGACACAAAAATCAGAAAACATGCAAGAAACAAAAAAGACTCCTGCTTACCTCCAACGATACCTAGAATGAGTGATTTTCTCTATCCCTCTTGTGGAGAGCCGTTCAAAACAGTAAAAAAAAAAAAAAAGAAACCAGCCCTTTCACTGACAAGTCTCTGTAACAACAATGCACTTGGGTTCCTTTTATCCTGCTCCATTTCCCCCTGTTGGTGGTTCAAGTGGTAAAATAAACTGCCTGCAATGCAGGAGACCTGGGTTCAATCCCTGGGTTCGTAAGATCCCCTGGAGAAGGAAACGGCAACCCACTCCGTGGGCTCCAGTCCATGGGGTTGTCCAGCGTCTGACACGACTGAGTGACAAACACGCGATCTGCCCCGGCGACCTCGCCCTGTGCCCGCGCCCGAGTCCATTACCAGCAGCAACTGTGCTCCAGATTCCTCCAGCTCAGGGACCACCGCCTGCACTGGCCGGGGCCCTCTGGGGGAAAAGGCTCCTCGGGGCAGAGACACATCTCGGGGCCAGTCATCCTCTGGGGGCAGTCCGATCAGGCTATGGGGAACAGGAGAATTCTGGTCAGGAAGGCCCTTTTCCAGCCCCCATCTCCTGGGGCAAAGCCAGCTGCTATCAAGGGCTCAGCAGAAAGAGGACTAGAAATGCAAAGTTCTTCCCCCTTGCAGGTCACTTACTCAAAGATTTTGCCTAACTGGTCAGCTTCAGAGTTTCCACAGAAGAGAGGCCTAAGGTGAAAAGAGACATTCATTCCGGTAGCAGTCTTTCAAAGACAGGGTGGTAGATAACTGCTTAGTGGCTCAAAACAGGGCGTAGAGAATAAAGGGCGATGAAATTCCTAATTCTGAAATTCCTAATTCAGAGTTTCCAGCTATGAACAAGGTGGCCAGTAGTAAGTGGAAGAGTGGGCAGGGTATGGGTGTGGTTTATGAATAAAAGACGGGAAATTCAAAATGTTTGGGATACTCGGGCCCCATACTTTCGACGAAACATCTCTGCGAAGATACAGCCAACGCTCCACATGTCCACGGGTGTTGCATATGTAGACTGCAACAGGACTTCTGGAGCGCGATACCAGAGTGTAACAACCTGGTAGGAATAAGTAGTGCGGATGAGAGTCCTGCAAGTTATTGCAAAGCACGTGAAAAAACACGTTCCTTCTCAACTGCTATGGGCAACCACTCTTCTCCCCCAGCCAGATCCCATCCTGGCCACCATCATTCTACTGACCACAGGGGTAAGTGCCATCTGGTAGCTGTAGATTCTGGCCAGGCCAAAGTCAGCCAGCTTGACTGTCCCACCACTTGTCACCAGAATGTTCTCTGGCTTCAGGTCTCGGTGAACAATGCAGTTGGCATGAAGGAAATCCAGGCCTCTTAGAAACTGGCGCATCAGATCCTGGTTTGGAAGGGGGAAGTACAGAGAAACTGGGAACCAGGTGCCACGCCTGAAATTACAACAGAAACTACCACGAAGGTCTCAAGCTACCTCTCAGGGTCTGCCCACCCTACTTACCTTTATGGTCTCCACTGGCAAGCCTGGTGGGGGTGCCTTGTCCAGATACGTCCTGAGGTCTTGGTCCACATGCTCAAACACCAGGGTCACTTTGGTCTCCCGGTCAGTCCGGGCTGTTGCACAGACATCCATGAGCCTGGCCAGAACAAGTGGTCACTCGCTGAGCAATGGTCTCAGACCGACCGACAGGGCCTCCCCTATCTCCTCGGGGTTCCCACGCCTCTTCTGACCACTACTCCATATCTACAGGTTAGATGTGAAGTCTTTTTCCTTTCACGACCCACTCCCACCCTTCCATCTGCTTCTCACCTGACAACATTGGGATGCTCAAAAGCCTCCAGGCGCCGCAGTAAGGCCACCTCCCGAACGGTGCTGATGGGCAGGCCCCCTCCAGCACCTCCTCCATTGGGGACTCTTACACTCTTGAGGGCCACAAAGTGGCCACTGTGGGGGTCACGGGCCTTGTACACTGTCCCATAGGCACCGACACCAATTTCAGCCACTGGCTCATATCGGGAGGTAGCCATTCTCAGGCCAGAGGAGAGCCTACAATCACAGAGACTCAATGAGCCTGCGGCAACAAAGCGACTCCCACGAAAGGCATCGCACAGACACCACCGACAGCATCCCCACACTTCCCCGAGGGCAGCCCCTAGGTAACACGATAGCCCCAAACCCTCCAGCCACGAGAGGCCCTATCACTTTCTCAAAAATGCGTTTTCCTTTGGGACCACCGAGCCCCACACAAGGGAAATCCCATACGACACACCCCCTACATCAAAGACCCGACACCCAGTTCCTGAAATTACACCTCCCATCGGCCACAAAGGAACATTATCACATCCTGCCCCACTTCCCGCCCTCGAGCAATCCTTCTATAACCAGCCCGCGTAGAAAGCAGCGGGGGGCGAGAATGGTCCCCATTCCTGAAAGGGGCTACGCTCACCTCGCCCCGTGTCAGGAGCTGCGGGGTCGGCCCGTTACCCGGACCCCGGAGCCGGTTCCTGCAGCGCCATACACTCGAGGTCTGTCCTGGGCAGCTGGACGCTAAGGGCCCGACCATAGACACAGGCCGCAGGCTAGAGCGGCCCCCTTTACCCCCACCCTCACCATGTGACCAGCTGCCAAAGAGGCGCGCGGAAATCGGAGGGGCGGGGCGAACGCCGGACGTTCTGACCACGTGACCAGGCTGCTCATGCGCAGAGGGGCAGCCGGGAAAGCGGCTTTGAACGCGAAAGGGGCGAGGAGGGGAAAGAGGCGGAGGAGATGATACCACGTGATCTGTTGCTATCACACGTGACCGCTTGACATTGCTTGGAGGAGCAGAGGTGTGGTTACGCTGAAGGGCACGTGACTGGCTGCCTTAACTCTGGCTGGGGCTGGTGGGCCGGAGGGGCGGGAGAGAGGGTGGAGTCCAATGCGGTGCCATGGCAACCTGGGCCACCCAGGATTCCCAACTCTGGGCTGCAGGCCGAGCCTGAGTCTCACTACCCGTCTCTCACTCTCTTTAAGCGGGGAGGTGGGTCGAGGGACGGGAGGAGGTGCTGTCGTCTTTCTGCTCCATCGCCAGCGGAAAACATGTTCTCATTTGTGTCTTTGTTTCATTCATTCATTCAGCAAATGTTTACTGAGTCCTTGCTTCCTGTGTGTATGTGGGGTTTCTTTTTTTAAATTTTTTTTCGTGTCTCACTTGACCTTTTTTTCAACTAGTGATAAAGTTACCTATATAGTCCCATATTTTATATGTGGTCGTGTAAAATAGGGAGTAGACAGTGCCCAGTTCAGTTCAGTTGCTCAGTCATGTCTGACTCTTAGCGACCCCATGGACTACAGCACGCAAAGTTTCCCTGTCCATCACCAACTCCCGGAGCTTATTCAAACTCATGTCCATCGAGTCAGTGATGCCATCCAACCATCTCGTCCTCAGTCGTTTCCTTCTCCTCCCGCCTTCAATCTTTCCCAGCATCAGGGTCTTTTCTAGTGAGTCAGTTCTTTGCATCAGGTGACCAAAGTATTGGAGTTTCAGCTTCAGCATCAGTCCTTCCAGTGAATATTCAGGACTGATTTCCTTTAGGATAGACTGGTTGGATCTTGTTGCAGTCCAAGGGGCTGCCCGTCTGAGGACGAAACTAGTATTAAAAGACCGATGGAAGGCAGGTTAGTACAATAATCCAACAGGACGTGTGGCAAGCTAATGTTGTCCCCTCTTCCCAACTTCCACCTTTTCCTGGGAGTGTTAAAGCAGAGACCAGATACCTTCTGGCAGAGAAATTATTGATGAGCTGGAAAGAGGAATACTTGACCTTTAAGGCTCTTTTCTGCAGTAAGATGGTATGACATGTGTGTATGATATTATATACATCACATATAGAGAGACAAAGGAGTGAGCATGAGCAAGGAAGTTATCACCACACTGCATGAAAATGAGTGTTCCCTTCTGCAAACCTTGTGACTCCTTATATGGTGTCATTGCATTTCTCTTTTTTCCCCTATGGCAAGCTTTCCTAGACCTTACCCTAAGAGATTTTTCCCAAACAACCTCTGCTCACAGACATCTCGGTAGACAACAGGCAAGTTTCTCTGACTTCCCTTGTCTTACTGATTCCAACTTCTTTGTCTCCCAACCCTTTGAGAGAATGGGAATAAGGAAAAGAAGGGATCAGTTTCTCATTTATGATAAACTGTCTAAAATCTCAAACCATTCTTCTACTCTATTTGCTCTCCTTGTGCCCTAACTTCTGTTCTCCTTAATCATCTGGCTGAGGATATGAGTTCAAGCTTGAGATTCATATAAACCATGCTCCAGGGCGAAATGGAAGACATGTCAGTACAGATTTCCCCTCTTTGCATTCTGATAGTTGTAGTCCAGGGCCTTTGCTGGCAAAGGCAACTGGAATTCTGGTAAGAAAAATCCCAAGGTGCTAACTGATTATGGGGCTTGTGAGGTGAATGTTTCATTGACTATTTTGCTAGGATTGGTGGGTTTGTAAACCTCTGGAAGGCTAAGCGCCTCTGAGTGTGTCAAATTTCCGTCCTACACCAGCAAGGTCCCACTTTAGCCTCACCCTCCACATAAGCTGACTTTTTAAAAATAGAAGTCATCCTCCATCTTGGCTTGGGTTCCAGACCCTTTTTCTGATTCATTCATCCATCCATCCAAAATATTTGAATGCTTTCTAAGAGCATTACTCTCCTTAATCACTTTCTATTGAGGATCCTTAGTTTGGCAATCTGTCCCTGATTACATACCCTCCCTTTTCCTGTTAATTACTTTTTTTACTAATTAATTTTTTTCCCACTGTGTTTGATCCAAAGAACTTCCCTGGAATTCCTTTCCCCACAGCATTGATAAGAAGAGGAGAGGGAGGATGTAACTGTAAGGTAGAAATAAGGGATGAGAGGGTACAACTGGTTCTCCTTTGCTCACTCACCTCCCTCACACATTACAATTACACACTTCTGTTTTTCATACAATCCAATTCCACCCCTGACACATTCATCTCTTTTCCATGGCCCCACACTGTGCACACTTTTCAGTCTTTTGTGTAGAAGTGTTTATTGCTTGAGCCCATGTCTTGCTCACTCACCTCGGACCCTTGCTTAGCTTGCTTGCTTTCTTTTTTTTTACCTTGCTTTCTTTGCACACTCGCATTTTGCACAAGCCTCTCCCTCCCTGGTGCACCTGCGCCTGTGACCACACACCTTCCATCCTCACCCGCTCCCCCCCACACCCCCATTCGCACACCTATTCTCTTACCCATGTGCACACCCCCCTCCCTTGGCCACGCCCCTCCCCCCGCCCTCCCCCGGGTTCGCACACTCGCCCCCGCCTCTGGGGACACCTGCTCGCGCGGGGCAGGGCGGGGATGCGCAGCCGCGGCCACTTCTCCTCCTCTCCCCCTCCCCGCCCCGCCCCTCCCTCCATCCCTCACCGGCTCCCCGGCTCCCGCCCCGCCCGCCCGCCGCTCCGGGGGGGTCTCCGCCGCCGCCGCCGCCGGAAGGAGCCGCCATTTGCCACCGCCGAGCGCACGGGCCGAGCCGGAGCCGGAGCCGGAGCGGGACTGGGGCCAGGAAGACGGCGATGGGGGGCGGCCCCGGCGCAGGAGGACCGGGGCTTGTAACCCCGGGGGCCCGGCCCGCTCCGGACCCGGACCCGCGGGGCGCGGTACCCTGAGCCCCCTCCCACTCCGCCCCCTGCCCCGGCCATGGCCGCCCGCCCCGCCGCCCCCGGGCCGCCAGCCCTCTCGGCCCCGCAAACCCCGGAGTCCCGGCGGTGGCAGCAGTGAACGGCTCTCGCAGGCCCCGTAGACCCCAGCCGGGCTTGGCTCTCCAGCGCGCCCCCTTCCCGGCCTTGTCCTCTCCCTTCCCCCCGCCGCCCGAGAGCCCCCCTTGCACGCCGCCCCCCGGCGCCCGGACGATGCTCAAGTCTCGGCTCCGCATGTTCCTCAACGAGCTGAAGCTGCTGGTGCTGACGGGCGGGGGGCGGCCCCCGGCCGAGCCGCAGCCCCGGGGGGGCGGGGGAGGCGGCTGCGGCTGGGCGCCCTTCGCCGGCTGCTCGGCCCGGGACGGCGACGACGACGAAGAGGAGTACTACGGGTCCGAGCCGAGAGCCCGGGGCCTGGCCGGCGACAAGGAGGCGCGGGCCGGACCCCCGCCGCCGCCCGCGCCGCCGCCTCCTCCCCCGGGCGCTCTGGACGCCCTGTCGCTCAGCAGCAGCCTGGACAGCGGGCTCCGAACCCCTCAGTGCCGAATCTGCTTCCAGGGCCCTGAGCAGGTCAGGCCTGGGCACCCGGCGGGGCGGGGCGGGGTGGGGGCGCGCACCTGGGGCGCCCGGGGAGACCGGGAGCAGGGGGCGGGGCCTGGGGAGGCTGGGCGGGACCCAGGGACCTGGGGTGGAAATGGAGTGAGGTTGGGGGGCTTGGCTGGAGACTCCAGGAGCGCAGATTTGGGGTGGCGGCGGATTAGGGGTCTCCAGGAAGGGGTGGGGCTTTCTCCTGGGAGGGCCCCACATCCTTCTCTCGGCTTAACCGAGGCAGCCTTTCTCCCCCCCTTTCTCTCACCCCAGGATCTCTGTAGGCTGAGGGCTGGGAGGTGGGTAGACAGGAGAATGCTTCTGTTCCCACCTTGAAAGGAGACGCCCAGGCGGTGCCGTCGCCTCCCTCAGTAGTTCTCTCCGTGGAGCACTTTTCTTCACTTCCCATTCCACAACTTTCCTTCTCATTCCAAAGAATATTCTTTGTTTAAATGCTACGGACAAAGTTGTCCCGGGATGGCATGAAGGGGGTGTCTCTTCCTGTCTTGAGAAATTACTTTGATTAAAGGGGAACAGCCTCCACTCCCACCCTTAGGATATCTCCCTTTCTGAATCTTGGAAACTGAGGACTGTAACCTATCCCAGTCTGCACCACATCTGTGAAACACTTTGCAGTGATGGAATGGGTTAAGAAGGCATGGCTCAGAAGCTCGCACTTCTGTTTCTCCAGATCCTAAGGGGTGGCCTTCCAGTTGGGAAGCCCTCCTCAAACTCTAGGAACAGAGAAGACCCAGTATTTACCAGCCAACTCCCCCTTCCCCATCCCTTCTCTTGTCTCTTATTGGGTCCGGGAAGTTTACCTTGAACTCTGAATTTTTTCTTTTGGGCTTGTAGCCTTAGCGTCTTGCTTTGTTTTGGCTGAAAGGCCTGATTTTTTTTTTTTTAAGGTAGGAGACACCTGGAGAAGAGGTTTCCCTCTCCTGGAGTGAGGTGGCGATAGCTGACCCCACTCTTGGAGTGGGGAGCTCGGGTGGCGATAGCTGACATGGCCTCTCCTCACTCTTCCTCCAGGGGGAGCTCTTGAGCCCCTGCCGCTGCGACGGCTCCGTGCGGTGCACTCACCAGCCCTGCCTCATCCGCTGGATCAGCGAGAGGGGCTCCTGGAGCTGTGAACTCTGCTACTTCAAGTACCAGGTCCTGGCAATCAGCACCAAGAACCCCTTGCAGGTGAGGTGTAAGGGGAGCACCCCGAGACTGGGGCAAGGGCCCTTCAGCAGTTAGAATCGGGGACCCTCCAGGCAGCTCGTTTCATCCATTTACTCTGTTTCAAAGTCACTCTCCCCTCCGTTATCATCATCTCCTGTCTGTAAATATCTCCCTTCCTTCATTTACTCAC